TATAAAGAGCCAGTTACGTAAATTTGCTTATTGTTATAAACATTTCGAGTTCTAAAATTGTACGTAGCATATTTTTGCTGTTTTTCGGTATTCGTATGGTCTTATAAAATTGTATGTTTTTCTCTGTTTTTGGTGTTATTTTTCGCTTGTACGCTGCAGTATTAAATTTGATTATTTATTTCATTAATTTTTTTCGCGTTTAAAAAATTATCTTACGATATTCAAATAAAAATTGTAACAAAATGATTTGTGATTAGAATCAGAAAAATTTTCTTGTAAATATATATCAAACTATATAAACGTGAAAATACTTTTTTTTGAAACAGCTAATTTCAGAAACTACGCGACTTTCTATATATGGTTTTTAGGTTTTTACTTATTCAATATCTTACGTAATAACTTTACAAATATTAACCCGTCATTACTTTCATGTAATATCATATAAATTTGATTATTACTTACTTATTATGGTAACCAATGATATATAGATATTTTTTAATTATTTTTTATTTATATAAATTAAAAACAAAATGACAAAATGCCCAAAAAAAATCCAATATTGTTCGTCCAACGTAAGGGACAAAACTATTGCAATGTCATAGAGAAAATTAAACAATTATTAATTTACCACACACTCCTTAGTGCTGTAAATAACAGTGGTCAATTTCTTATTTCATTCTTTTAACTGAGCTCTCGAAAAATAATTTGAATATACAAACCAAAAAAACGGTAAACATAGTTTACCAAGAAATATTATAGTTTACAGAATTACAGGTATATCAACTCTATTTCAGTCTTTAAAATCTAAAAAGTCTAAGATTTTTTTTATATTCTTTATTCTTATAATATATTTATTTATGATTTATTTTAATTACTATATAATATCTTTTTTAATTGATATTGACAATGTTGTAATCACGCAATAAAACTTTTTGTATACTAAATATAGATTTGTGAAATTTTGTTTATTGTTTTTGTTTTTTATTTCATTAAAAGTATCTTAAAAAAAATTCATAAAGTTAAAACTCCAACGATCCTGAAGGAAATAGCTATCATTCAAAGTTCAAAATATACAAGTATATACAATTTTTTTTTCTATTCTTTGATTTTAAAGATAGGCTTAAGGATTTATTTTTGGGCAACAGAAATTTCAAATATTTTTTTTGTTTATATAAGGTTACCATTGGTTACAGAAAATTATAGCGTTAGCCAGGGAATTTATAAAGCATATATATATATATATATATATATATATGAGAATGGGAAAAGAACGTGGACAAGTATGGTTACGGGGAAATGTATGATGAATACACAAATATTTTACCCTCGGACAAAGCTGAGTAATTCAGCTAGTATATAGTAAAATATAAATATATATATTTTTTTAACTGTTTTTATTGACATATATAATGCTTAATTTTTAAATAAAATAGCCCATATATTAGTTGTTTTTCGTGCTATAAAATCTAAGCCATAAGTATAATATATTGTACTCATCCCTTCCATCAACTAAAACAACTAAGTGTCGTGTTCACATTTTATAAATAATAATAATTATATTATAATAAATACAGTTGTTAAAACTAGATAGGAATATTTAGAAAATTTTGAATTTTCTCTATTAAATCATAATTTCCTGAAAGTGTTTAAGAAAATTACATTATTTTTCATCCGACGAAACGATCGATTTGTTTTTTTTTTTTACAAACTAACTAGGAGAAAATACCACTGGTATCAAAATGAAAATTAATGGAAAAAACTACGGTAGTAATTGGAAAAATTTTCCGATAGTTACAAAAATTGTTTGAATTTATCATTTACATCTGTTTCGGTTTACTGCGTTCTAAATTTGGACAGCCACATCCAACGGATTGTACTTATATAACTGTCATTAACACGAATATTTTTGTATTTTTAATTTTTATCGTCATAATATACCTCCTCGTAAAAAAAAAAAATAGATTGCAATGTTAAACCATAAATTTCGTTTCTCGTTCTCGAAAACTGCGGAACATTTTTATATGCAATTTTATCCCACGAATTGGCTGTTTTTAAACAAGTTAGAAAGGTAGATAAATTGTGTTTTGTAACCATCTATATGTTAATCAGCCGTTATTAATCTGATTGTTTCGCGTTGTATTTCACGCGACCACGTGCGACTGTGGTGGCTACCAACCAATCAAATTACGAGGCGCACACCATCGTGTTGCACCGTGAACGAATGGTTCGTAAAAACGTATTTAATAACATTTTTTATTACGTCCAGTACATTTTTTTTCGACGACATCCCTACAACATGACGTATTGTTCTTGTTTCCAAAACGGTTCTTTAAGTTTTCATCGGTTTAACGTAAAAAAAAAAAAAAAAACCTATACACGAAAAGCCAATTATAATATACCTATTACATCAATATAGTTGTATTTAAATTTAAGAAAAAATACACTCAGCACTAACGACGTATTTCATAATAATAAAATTAATTTATCGATATCCTTGTACACTTAATAACTTTACACTGTCATTTTTATGACTTTTTGAACCGGTGCACCGAAGTTTACATATCAACTGGTAAAACATAAATAGAAATTAAACGACGAAATGTACTCTACGAGACAACCGTTGGTTAATGATCGTACAAACGCTAGTAGTTCTTATCAGTACCGGTTTATAAAAGAATAGTGCGAAATCTTGTTTTTGCTCTTCTGAAAAATAGTAAGATTGACGCTAGGCCTTTTTTGCATTTTACTAGTCGATTTATAAGTATAAGAAATCACGCGAATTGAGTATTGTTCCAAGGCTATAGTTATACATAATAAATTATTATAAGCGAGTACCGTTTTCGACAAAGTTTAATATTGAACAAACAAAGAATAATAATAATAATAATAAAGCAACGTAATTACGATTTATTGTTTTAACCGTCTCGTAGTTACATACGATATACGAAAATAAATACATCGTGAAATTATGCAAAACCGTGTATTAAAGCCGATGTGTTTTTATTTTTTTCAAAAAAAAGAAACGTTACAATATACCGACAAGGACGCATTTTGAAGATTACTAGATAATATTTCGATCTATATAGTAACCACATAAATATGATAATATTTGACAAGCGTAAACGTGGACGAGATCTTATATTGCATATTAAAGTTATTATAATACATAAATTGTTTGTATAAAATATATCATCAACACCCTGTGATGGCACCCAGTTGTTCAAACAATTGACAAATAATAACTTCCAGTGGTGGTAAATATACGTGCTTAGGTTAAATGGGTATACTAAACGAGTGCGTTTAAGTTATGCTCATATCGTTTAGTTGTACATATGACATATGTATGTAAGAACACTTAATGCGACTTAAATGCATTTATACGTTATTTTAACACTTTTTTTGTAAAAGAGTTATCGTCATGTGTTTAATCGTATTATATAGAAATCCATGCAAATCCATGCGCCAAGAACTTAAACACACCATAACTAGTCATTTTCTCGTGAGTATTTGTATTCTAAAAATCCGAAATATTCATGAAAACGCTCTCTTACAAGGGGTCAGTAACTTTAATGCGGCAACCGAAATTAGTAGAGTAAAAAAAAAAAAAACGTCACGTTTTATCGTGTGTAAAACAATTGGAAAGTCCTCGGGAACAACAGTAGGTATATCTATATATTGTATAACTGTATCTATAAAAACATTAAATTACGAAAAAAAAATCGTTTACGCGTAAAATATATACCACCAAAAAATGTTATCAAATTAATAAAATTAATCTTCCCAAAAACTACCATTTGATGAACAGTTGTTATATAATATTATATATTACATTATAAACATTTTTACCATTAATATTTTCGAAGAAAATATTTTAGCGGAGACGTTTAATCATCCTAACGATGCTTATTTAAACGCTATATTTTTACTTGACTACACGTATTTCAATTTTAATATTTTATTAAATATTTAATCTTTCATTGTGTGGTAAAATATTAGCACTGAAATAACCACGAATAACAAATGTTCAAATTTTTTATTTCGATAAAAATAATTTGAGTATTTCAACTACAAGCGGTAGAAAAGATAAAAATGTACTTTTTATGTTTTGTTGAGTCAATGTTGATACGCTGGAGAGTTTTTGGTGTCACAATATTTACATAGGCATTATGACTCTTACGTAAACAAAGAAAAAAATAAGAAAAATAGGCATTTCAATTCCTAACATAACCGGCTACCGCTTTAAAAATAATACAGAATTATATACTCAGAAGCATGTACTCATATAGTTTTTGAATTCAAATGTATAATTTCAGAATGTTTTGTCGTAAAAACGATAGTGAAAAACGTAATACGTTTAAGAAATATTTAAATATGTATAACTTTTATATAATTTGTGCCTATAAAAGTCCCACAGCGCCCCGTTTAGCCATTTCGGGAGGATTTCATTTTAAGTTTTACCAAAGCTCCCTACACGATATTTGGCTAGTTGAGTAGATATTTTCAAATGCATCGTCATTTAAAACATGATTTTATTTCTCGAATTAAACGCATGTACGACGGTTCGCTGTGCTTTCCTTTTTCGTATTATACGTGACGAATTTATTTAAAACTACGCGCGGTTCTGTGGGTATTTCCCCGAGATTGACTAATTGAAAATGTTTTCTGTATATCGCATACACGTTATTAAGAAGACCGCGTTATTTAACATTTAATGAGAAAAATTCGACCCAACGTTGTTCAATTGAATCCATATGACGGAGATCCATAGAAACAAGGGTTGGAGAAGGTTGTTCGATAGAATAGTTTTGCAATTGTTTAATTTTTTTTTTAGTCACGATTACAATAGAAACAGAACGAAAAAGTCCAGTACAACTTTTTTGTAAAACATCAAAAGTAATATTTTTTTTTTTTTTTACCTATCCGGTAGCCGGAGTGGGTTTAACGAAAACAGAGGAAACGAAAAGATAACAATAAAACGTATTGGACATGTATCCGCTTACCTTGGAATCGGGTTCCGTAGGCAATCAAGTGGTTACCGGCTTAGATTTGGTTAGGTTTTGGCGGGTGTGCCGTAGTCGTCAGTGACCCTGGGTCGAACTGAAAATTTTGACCATCGCACCGCGCACGGCTCCGATTTCTTGTTGTCTGCCGGGCAAAAAATTATTCAAAAAAAAAAAAAAAAAAAACGCGAAAAAACACGTCGACGACCGTTCCGCGCACGTTTTCGGCCGAACTTTTGTACGCGACGAGACCGATTTATCGCGACGTGATACGCGTGTGACCCGTTCGGTGCAACATCATTGGTCGTACTGCGCGCGCGGTCCGTGAAATCGCGGTGTGCTCGACTCTTGACACCGGCTGGTCCCCGCTACCCGCCCCCACCGACGACCAGGCCACCGGTTCACCTGGCCTCTCACCTCCGCTGCAGACCGTCTGTCTACCGCATGCGGTAACCGCGGTTAAAACGCCCGCCGTCGGGTACCGTACCGAATACCGTCCGGTATACCCGCCTCAGTATCGGCATAGGTAAAGCCGGGTTCACACTACACTGTGACGTGTATTTTACCAGACCGTGTGCTTTGAAAATGTGTGGTGCCAATATATATCTTATATATATATATATATATCTTATGGTGACGCTATCAAATTTTGGTTACCTACATATTTTCGTAGTTTTTTTTATTAAATATGAAATATTTTCATAAGTTTCAATAAATAATAACTGATGAATATTAAATTATATAGTAGACAGTATGTACTATAATATTATTAACGCTCGGAATTTAATGCATTTAAAAAAGTACAAATATGCTTCAAAAATATGCACTTAATTTTTTTTAACTCAAAAATGTTCATAAATAAAGATATTTTATTAAATATACTCGTACATAACAGTACAAATGTTGTTAGTATAACAATTAATTATTATTATTAAGCTAAACATAATTTCTAGGTATATAAAAGATAAAAAAAAATAAAATAAATAGCTTGAAATTTAAAATTTTCTTTCAAAATGTTCCCATTAGGTTTTTCATATTGTCATGAAAATAATTTCAAGGTTACTTAGCAATAAATTAAATAGCCCAATAAAATCATGCAAATGCAACACCTTCCAAGTCCTTTGTTATTATGAATAATGTTATCATTAAATTAATTCTATTAAAATCGGTAACCCCACGCTCAAAAGTTGGATAAAATCAACTTCACGGTATCTTATGGTTAGTGAAGTAACTGGTGATTTATTATACGGTATACCTTGATGTAACAATGTGATTCAGTCAGAGATAATTATTTTAGAAGACACGACACGGCACGGTGTAGTGCGAAATCATTTCCCTTATAAAAATAAGATTTTTTCGTAAATCTTTTAACATCACTTTATTTATCGTACAAATAACAAGTAAAACATTTCCAACGCTACCCTCCCAGTAGATTTCTGGAGCCGAGGCTAGTTCACAATTTACATGGTACGTCGTCAGCTAGGTGTTATTTTACGTTTTCTCGGTTAGGCATCGAGAACGTTGTTTGACGATTTTAATATGATAATATTACTATAGCAATTATATGGTGTATCTACACGCATTCGTTGCCATTTAATTGTCAGTTGCAGCGAAGAAAACATTGAACCGCTAACGTATTTTGCGGTACAACATTTTGGAAGAAAAATTAAATACGAAAAAACGCGAAAGTAAGGCTTAGCTCCAGGAGTTATATCATAATAGTTTAGTTTTCTATGAATGAAAATCATGCGTTGTGTGGTTTTATACCATTATTAATATTATTATTCTTGAATTCATGTTTTGACGTCAACGCGTTTACACATTTTAAGCACATAAATCACAATAATAGGTTTTGTAATTTATTTCTCATTCATTTTTCGTTCGACGTGTTTGTTGAATATATAGTTTTATACCTATTGCCTATATACTATTTTTCACATATATGTAGTATTATTACGTAGTAATATAAATTCTTTGAAATCCGATACAATACGAATGGTGTTGACCGTCAACCTTAATACGTTAATACATACAAATAATATAAATACGTTAAAAATCATATACTTAACTTTTCCTATGATTTGTTTTAAATTAAACATTACTTACAGAACACTATGCACTGTAACCAGTTTTGGAATAGTTCGTTGGGAAAATTAGCTCTTTTAATTCATCATCTGCTCCTTTTTATTTTTACTAATTTGATCAAACAACAGGAACTGGCTAGTTTTTTTTCTCTCTATTTCCTTATCATAAATGTTAAAATATTTTTTTCATTTATTATCAATAATTATAAAATAACTTAAAATGTTACATATATCATTAATTACTCGATGCTTATAAGATAATCATATATCATATATTAATAAAATTTGTTTATATGTTACACTCCTTAATCGAAAAAATTAAAATATGCTTTCCTCTATCTAAGATTTTATTGTTTTAAAATCATAATAACAGAAATTCGACATCAGTTTGTTGGCATTGGTCGTCTACAAGTTTCATATCGTAAAAACTAGACGCATTTTATTAATCATTGTGGTTTATGAATTGATATTATGAGGATTTTTAAAACAGAATCATTATTGATATATAATCGACTAGCCGAAATTTTGAATTATACTAAATTTTTGTTATAAACAAAGAATGTCGTCACCTAAGAACTATCATGGCCAATCTCAGTTTTCCTAACTTTTGAGGACGAAGAAAAATCTGTTTTGTTGTTAAGAATTTTAAATTTTAGTACATATCTTGATATTATTTAACTCTGAAATGTGTACCTACTTAATCTTTTTGAAAACGTATTAATATCAAAACTGTATTTTTATTGAAAATTCTTGTTATTGACCTAGATAATGTAATTTTCACTCAATCGATGGACCTTGATATTATTACCAAAATTCTATTTTCAGTATATTTATGAGAATGGCCTTAGTAGTTTAATTTTCACGCTAAAGATAGGCCGTGATAAGGATATAATAATTAATACATTCCTAAACTATAAAAATATAATCAATATTATTATTATGGTTTTTTTTATTTTTAAAATAATATGTAAGATAGAAAAATAATTTTCAAGTCTTACATTTTCTTTAACTTTCTTTTTAAGATATTTATGATAGATTACAATTTGCATTCTTAAAATTAAATTTCTTTTGTTTAAACTTAAAATTGTTAATACTTTTAAATTTAAATTAATTAATTTTAACTTATATTACATTATCACATTGTAAACAACTAGAATAAAATTAATAACTTTTTTATCATCAAACACATTTAAATGAAAACTAGGTATAATAGCATCAGCCTTAATTTCAATCTTCCAATTATTGCCCCAGTTTTGTAGATTTGTTAGCTTTTTCTTTTTCAGCGTTCTTAGGGAACATGATTTTTCCTGTTCTTATATTTTTTTTTTGGCATTATAGGAAGAAGTTGAAGTTCTGTAAAAAATTCAAGAGCATACTTTATTTGGCCATAAGAATCGTATTGCAACTACCTCAAATCAGTAATTACTGGGTCACCACTTTTCTTCCCTAAACGAATACTGTCTTAAACCATGTGATTGGGCTTTGAAAAATCTTTGAAGAATTTCCTGTCCACAAACTTAACTCTGTAGGAAAACGGATTTTTTCGAGCATTCTTTGTTATGTCAATAAATTGAAATGGCAAATAAATATCTCTATTTCTCATTGCTCCTTCTAGGAAATTGTGGACACTGTCTGCCTCAATTTGTGTATGCTCTTTTTCTATATATTTTTGATTGATTGTAACATTTTTTCTCATACTCAAATCCAATAGGGCATTGGATAAAATTGAGTTCCTATTTTGATAGGAACAGCCATCTGAAAAAATGTTGACAGTAGGTCTTGGTCCATATTCATCGATCAGTTCCTCCACTGCATCTACAAGACAAAACACAAACAATGATGCTACTAGATCTGTATGCAATTCATCAAACCAATAACAAATGACGTCGTAAGTTTTCAATTTGTATACAGTGAAACTATGTACTGTCAATTTCATCTTGTAATACAATAAACTGATTTGATGCTGAGGTACCAATTTAACTGCCATTAGGTCACAAAATAAAGTATAGCATTGTTTTTCCACAGCTGATTTTTTGTTTGCCTCCTTTTGTATTTTGGCATCGTCATTTCTTTTCTTGTGAGCACTAAAACTGTTATCAGATAAATTACCAGATTTGTATTGACAACACAGATCACATTGATCTTTCCGGGGACTAAAGATGACAATTTTTTCAGCTCTGCATATTCTATCATATGAAAACCTACTGAGTGGTAGTACAGATGCATTATTTAAATACTTTACGTATATTGTATAATACGTACGCAAAGTTTAATTAAAATAAATTGTTTTTCTATACATAATCAAAATTTAGGGTTTGAAAGCAAAATATGAAAAATGCATGAAAAATGAAAAAATAAATTTCATTTAAAAAATTACCTCACATTATGATAATATGATATTGTTATTAATATTACCTATTAAGTTTATAGTTAAGTTTGAAATGTAACTTTTTTAATATATAATATAAAATACCTAACTTAATATTCTTTCTGTCTAATAATTTTATATTATGCCATGTTTGGAAGTGTATAATGTTAATTTATATTGTAAAAATCTTATTTATATGGTTATTTATACATAAATATTTAATATTATTTAATATATATTATATTCCTATAAATTGATCTTATTCAACCCAAAATATTATACCATAATAAAACAAAAATATAATATAAGTAAGATAAAAAATGTTTTAAAATGTTCATATATTTTCAGTAGGTCCCTATGAATTTAAGTATTAGACACATAAGTATTTCAAATAAGATCATTAAAATACATTCTATGTTATAAAATAAAAACGAAAACCTTTTAATTATAAACACTAATTAACATACAATATTAAATTTAATCTTAGATTTTGTATAGTGTTACAGTTTGAAATTGACTGTTCAGCAGCTTCTATTATTTTATTAAAATTAAACATTTTAAGATGTAAAATATAATTTATATACAGTATTATTCAATTAGTGTTTACATTTTGTATAGTGTTATAGTTTAAAATAGACTGTTCATTTGTCTCCATTAATTTTGTTTCAATACAGACTTCATTCTATGTAATAAAATTAAAACGAAAAACTTTTAAGTATAAATACTAGTTTACACACAATATTTAATTGAATCTTACATTTTTTATGGTGCTATTTTTTGAAATTAATTGATCAGTTTTTTTCTATAATCATTGTTTCAATATTTAATTCATTCTACATTATAAAATAAAAATTAAAAACTAT